AAATCACTGACAGAATATATTTTAATTTTAATTAAAATAAATTTTATCAAAAATCTTTTTTAAATGTAATTATTTTTTTTTGTAAATGTAAGTATTTTTTTGTTATATTTATTTAATTTTATAGATTTAAATATTTTTTGGTTCAAAAAAGATTTAGGGACTTAATCGTTCAAAATATGAATGTTCATTGGGGTTTTTTCGGACTTTTGTCACTGTTTTACTACTTTAACTAGTTGTACAAGTCATAAGAATGTATCCAACAGGTTTTAGAAAAGTACAAAGAGTTATTTAACATGTTTTGGATTGTCCAAGGACTTGTTTGTTCCAAAAATTGTCCAATGAGTTATTTAACATGTTTTAAATTGTCCAAGGACTTATTTGTTCCAAAAAATTGTCCAATGAGTTATTTAACATGTTTTAAAATGTCCAAGGACTTATTTGTTCAAAAAAATTGTCCAAGGACTTAATCATTCCAAACACTAAAGTACATTGGATTTTTTTAGACTTTTCCCTAAAAAATATTACAGTGTTGTTTGACAGTTGTTAAATCATTTGGTGCAGAATTAGATAATTAATGATTAAGATGTATTACGCTACATTGTACGAGTACTCTTCTAGTATAATTAATTTTTTTGAGCTTGGCTCCAAAGGTCAAAAATACTACGAGTTCTCAGATTCAAATTCAAGGAGGAATAAAAATCCCTTTGTGGCCACGGAAGCTCAAATGCGGCGACGGACTATCTGCAAAGCAGGTGGTTGTTCTAGGATTAGTCGGCTCGCATAGCCGATTAAATATCCAGGTTTATAAAAAAAATTAATAGTCATTTTAATTTTAAGAGAAATCAGATAGGCCTTTACTGAGATATGTTCACAGGTTGTCCAAAAACCCATATTTAACATATGCTAACAGACAGCTCAGATGATATTTATACTGACAAATAAATATATATTTATGTTTTTTTCCTGAAAAATGGAGTTAAAAGGTATCATTAAAGCCTCCTCAATAAAAGTAGTAGACACATTATTTTCCAAATTATTCTTATAATCGTATTGATTACTTCTCAACACAAACTCACCTTTTTGTGTTTTTATTATCTTTCAATTATTGTTTTTAAATATTTTTAAATATTTTAATTTTAATTAATTTACAAAACATATTAAAAATATAAATTAAGTTTGTCAAATATATACTATATTATAAAACATTTGATAAAAAGTCTTAAAAACTTTTTTTTGTGCATGAAGTACCGTTTATTGATGCATATTACTTAAAATTCAATATTACAGATAATATGTGCGTAAGTATAGCTTATTAAAGTTTCATGTTTGAATTCGTGTAACTAACTATTGATAAACATAGTAAAATACAAGATAAACATTTCATTTAAATATAAAAAAATCTAGGATGTAGTTAAGATAAAATTGAGTTCTAACAGAATATTTAATTATTACTCTTATAAAAAATTATATTATTAAATCAAAAATAAATTACTTCGTTATTAAATCTAAATTAAATTACAATAAAAAAACCGATTTAAAGAAAATTACACAAAAAACAAGAATTTTTAAATAGTTAATTTGATACTAATATTAATATATTTATTTTCAAATTTTTATGATGTATTCAGATTTTTATTTTGTTCAAAAATAAAAAACATTATCATTTTCTCAAAACCACATAAAAACCGTATTAAAACATCTAATGAGCCGTAATAAAATGAAACACTAAAATCGAGATATATCTCGAAGTATTGTATGAGTACCCTTCTAATGAATGTGTGTGTGATATATATATATACTAGTTGTGTACCCGCGCAATGCGGCAGGAGCCATGAATTTTAAAGATTTTGAAGTTTCACTGGTTTTATAAGATGAGATTTAACGATAATATAGGTTACACTTGGTCTTTACATATTAATACAATTTGAATAAATAAGAGTTATGATTTCAATTACAGACTATCGATGAAAAAAA